ACCCAATGGGGTTGCTTTTATCCAACGACATTGGCCTCAGGTGGAATGTGGACAGGCTTTATGGACTTTGAAATCACCCAAGAGGACAGCAGGTATCTGAACGGCTTGGAAGCCCCTAGACCAAGTTCTCAATGATGTAGAGATCTGACATCAGATCCTTTTATTTTCCTCACTTGAACTCAAATCGTTACCGCAGCCAGGTAGGTCAAAAATAACCGAATGTCATATGACAGATTAACGGGGCCTATAGAAACCTGGAGGATACGTGTACTCTTTATATGGAACAGCATCTACTCAAGCCCCAAATTGTCGTTTGCCATGCAGAAATATGGGCTTTGCTGCAGATATGTGGGGTGTGCTGCCAGAACTTTTCAACACTCAAGAGCAGCCAGAAATCTAGGTTTTTATGTAAAGTGTCCAGATTTTAAATGATGGAAACTCATTCAAAAGAAACATCTAAGGCCTAGGCTGGCCAAACCACCTCAGATGGTTGAATTTGGCCCAAGGGCTGCCAATGTGCCTGGGTGTGAACAAGGCAAAGGGGAGCTCAGAGAAAGCTTGTTACCAACCTGGAAAAAGTAGAGACAGAAGGATTGGGGCATGCCAATGAAGGGACTTCCTGTGAAGGGTATACAAGTATGCATTGATTAATGTTCATAGTACGCTCTGTGAAATAGGACATGATATGATTTGGACATTATATGAACACCATAGCATATAAAGAATTTGTATGTATGTAACTCTGGTTAGCTCCACTTTGTCATATACAGTAGGGCCGTACCTATCATTGCTGACATCAGGTGAATCTTGGCTTAAGGAAGAGAAAACCAGAAAGATATTTTATTGACTATGCAAAAGCATTCAATTATATAACTATGTAGATCATATAGATACCATTGGGAAGAATTAGAATTTCAGGCCACTTAATTATGCTCATGAGGAATTTTTACAGCTACCACAAGGCAGTCCTTTGAAGAGAATAAGGGGCTACTTCCTGGTGTAAAATCAAGAAAGGTGCACATCAGGGTTGTATCATCTCACCATACTTATTCAATCTGTGTGCCTAGCAGAGAATTCGAGAAGCTGGACAATGTGAAGAGCGTGACATCAGGATTGGAGGAAGACGTATTAATAACTTGTGATATGCAGATGACATAACCTTGCTTGCTGACAGTGACCAAGACTGGAAACCCTTCCTGAAGAAGATCAAAACCTTCTGTATAGATTAATCTGAGCATAAAGAAGACAAAAATCCTTACAACCAATGGACAACAAGCATATTAAGTGTAGATAATTGAAGTTGTTAAGAATTTAATTTTACTTGGCTCCCACTCAATGCCCATGCGAGCAATAGTATACATACATATACATATACATATACATTGCATTGGGCAAATCTGCCACATAAAGAGGGGGATGTCACTGTGAGGACTAAATTGCTTGAGAACTGGACAATAAATCAGGAAGATCAAAAAAGAATTATGTCATTGCATTAGGGCGTGGTGAAGAACATCGACTGTACTACTGACTGCCAGAAGAACCAACAAGGATATCTCGGGAGAAGTGCAGCCAGAATGCTCTGTGGAAGTGAGGATGATGAGATTTTGTCTCACATCCTTTGAATGTGTTTTCCAGACCAGGGCATCATGTCTGGTGAAGCAGAGGGTCAGCCAGCAAGAAAGAGGACATGGAAATGACTGTCGTTGGTGGAAGCAACAAAGGCGATGCTGTTGTTGATAGCTGCCCTGGAGTCAGTTCCGACTCCCAACGACCCCAGGCAGAACAGAACAAAACACTGCCTGGTCCTGTTGCCGTCCTCACGATTGTTCTGTGTGAGCTCGTTGATGAAGCCACTGTGCCATTCCCTATTGTTGAAGGTCTTCTTTTTCTCTGTCAGGCTACCTTACCAAGCACGACGTCCTTCCGCCAGGACTGGTCTCTCCGGACAACATGTCCAAAATCTCACCATCCTTGCCTTTAGGGAACATTCTGGCTGTACTTCTTCCAAGACAGATTTGTTTATTCTTTTGGCAGTCCATGGTACTTTGAATATTCTTCTCCAGCACCATAATTCAAATGCATCAATTTTTATTTGGTCTTCCTTATTCAATGTCCAATTTTCACATGCATATGAGATGACTGAAAATATCATGGCTTGAAAAAATAATAATTTATAAATTATCAAGGAAAAAAATGAGGAGCTGATACCAAGGGCTCAAGTAGAAAGCAAATGTTTTGAGAATGATGAGAGCAACAAATGTACAAATGTGCTTGACACAGTGGATGGATGTATGGATAAGAGTTGTACAAGCCCCCAACAAAATGATTTAAAAGAAAGAAAGAAAAGAATAAAGTGTTTGACAAACGCTTAAATCAAAAATAAAAGAAAGAAACAAGGAAAATATCATGGCTTGGATCAGGTACACCTCAGTCCTCAGAATAACGTCCAGGCTTTGTGGACTTTTAAGAGACGTCCACGTTATGCAGACTTCTAAGAAATCGTGTGCAGCAGATTTACCCAGTGCAAGGTATCGTTTGATCTCTGGACTGTTGCTTCCGTGAATATTGGTTATGGGTCCTTGACAACAATCTTTTCTCTGTTTACCATGATGTTATCTACTGGAACAGTTGTGAGGGTTTGGGTTTTCTTTACATTGAATTGTAACCCATTCTAAAGGCTGCAGTCCTTGAGCTTCATCAGCAAGTGCTTCACTTCAGCAAACAAGGTTGTGTCATCTGTATACCACAGCTGGTTAATAAGCTTTCCTCCAATCCTGATGCCACATTTTTCTTCATATAACCCAGCTTCTCTGATGAATTGCTCAGCATACAGATTGAATATGATGAGAGGTTGCAACACAGGCACACATCCTTCCTGATTTTAAACCTTGCAATATTCCCTTGTTCTAGTCACACAACTCTTTCTCGATCCATGTACTGGTTCCACATGAGCGCAATAAAGTGGTCTGTAATTTCCATTCTTCTTAAGGCTATCCATAGTTTATTATGATCCACACAGTCCAATGCCTCGGTATAGTTCAAATATCACAAGTAAGCATGTTTCTGTACTCTCTGCTTTCAGATAAGATCCATCTGCCATCAGCAATACTATCCCTTGTTCTAAGCCCCCTTCTGAAGCCATCCTGAACTTCTGGCAGCCCCTTGACACTGCACTGTGACTGTTGTTGGATGATCTTCAGCAAAAGTTTTACTTGCATGTGATATCAATGATCCTGTTCTGTAATTTGAGCATTCTGTCGAGTCATTTTTTGGGGAATGGGCACAAATGTGGATCTCTTCCAGTCAGTTGACCAAGTAACTATCTTTCAAATTTCCTGGCACAGACGAGTGAGTGTCTCTAGTGCTTCATCGGCTTTCTGAAACGTTTCAGTTGGCATTCCATCAGTTCCTGGAGTCTTGTTTTTGGCTAATGCATTCAGTGCAGTTTGAACTGCTTCCTTCAGAACTATTGGTTCTTGATCATATGCTCCCTTTGTAATAGTTACATGTCCACTAGTTCTTTTTTGGTACAATGACTATATTCTTTTTTTTTAATCATTTTATTAGGGGCTCATACAACTCTTATCACAATCCATACACACATCAATTGTGTAAAGCGCATTTGTATCATTGCCCTCATCATTCTCAAAACATTTTCTCTCCACTTAAGCCCCCGGCATTAGGTCCTCATTTTCCCCCTCCCTCCCCGCTCCCCCCTCCCTCATGAGCCCTTGATAATTTATAAATTGTTATTTTGTCATATCTTGCCCTGTCCGACGTCTCCCTTCACCCACTTTTCGGTTGTCCGTTACAATGACTATATTCTTTCCATCTTCTTTTGCTGCTTCCTGCATCATTCAATATTTTGTCTGTAGAATCTTTCAGTGTTGCAACTCCAGGATTGAATTTTTACTTTATTTCTTTCAGTTTAAGATATGCTGAATGTATTCCTTCTTTCTAATTTTCTAACTCTAGGCCTTTGCATATTTCATTAGTGTTAGTTTGTCTTCTCAAGATGCCCTTTAAATGTTTCTATTCAAGTCTTTGATTTCATCATTCCTTCCATTTGCTTTAACTACTCTGTGATTAAGGGCAAAGTTCAGAGTCTCTTCTGATGTTCACTTTCTCACATTCTTTCCTTTATGTTTTAATGATCTTTTTTGTTTCTTCATGTAAAATGTTCTTGATGTCCTCCCCCAGCTCATCAGGTCTCCTGTCATTGGTGTTCAGTGCATCAAATCTGTTCTCAAAATGCAGGTGGGAAGGACCCAAGGTTGTATTTTGACTCTCATGGATTTGTTTTCATTTTCTTCAGCTAAACTTGAACTTGCATGTGAGCAATCGATGGCCTATTCCACATGCCACCCCTGGCCTGGTTTTAGCTGCTAATCTTGAGCTTTTCCTATCATCTCTTCCCACAGATGCAGTCAACTTGATTTCTGTTATTCCATCTGGGGAAGCTCATGTGTATAGTTTCCATT